TTCTTACCATATTACTCTTAGGTTGAAATATGAGGTTAAATATCCTAAACAAAATTTGATTGAAAAAACTTAAAATAAACATAATTTAAAAGAAATCAGTTAGTTTTTTTTTTAATTATATTTACTTTTAATAAACCAAAGAAATAAAAATTCATTTTGACCCATTTTTCTAATTAATCTTGATAAAATTTTCTAAATTTCATGTTGTGGGCACATTTATGTATGGTCATGGTAATCATACGTTTGGAGGCAACATGTGATAAGAAATACGATGGGCCTACATGTTGCTCATATTTAAATTCATTGTTTAATAACTCATTAACCATATGAAAATTTGATAAGAATTGTCAAAATTATTTATTTTTAACTAATCAGTCATAAATCAAATGCAACAAAGACAACGATATCATATTTACTCCAAGTTTAATATCAACAGCCATTGCCTTTGTCTACGTAGAAACATTCAATGCGAGCAAAGCCCCTAAAACTCTGTCTTTTTAACTAAACTAAGCCCGCCACAAAGACTCAAACAACTCGTTAAATTTCAGGAGCTACAAAAATGGCCACATATGGCAAGATCTCACGGACAATGACCTCATCACTCCATTCTCCGACAACGAATACATCCTAAAAGGCTCTCTCATCCCTTCTCCACACAACAAAGCTGTCGAGCAATTCTTCCCATTCCACGAAAGAAAAACAGCAACCAAGAAACAAGACGCAGAAGAAGAAGAAGAAGAAGAAGAAATAGCAGACGTCCCAATTCTAAAAACACCATACGAGACCTTACATATTGAAGCTAACGTCTCTCCAAAACCCCCGCCACGTGGCGACGAAGAGTCTCCCATAAGACCAGATACTTCTTCCTCATCCTCCTCTGTTCTGAAGTCTGAGCGAACAGAGGAGATGAAGGAAGGCGATAAGGAGAAGAGTTGTGGCAAACTTGTGGCAATTAAGAAGAATGGGAGTCAGGTTGATAGAAGTAATAGTAAAGGGAGAGGAGAAGCGCAGCCTCGCCGGCGGGCGGCGGATGTTTTAAGGAATCTGCTCAGGTGCAGGCTTGTGGACACGAAGGATACTGTGAAGAGGGAGAGCAGAGGGATGAATGGATCGTTGTCGCGGAAGAGTTATCAGACAAGCAGTAGCAGCAATGAGAGGTCTGCATGTTGTGCTTCACCATTTTTTCTTTTGAGTAATGATTTATTTTAAGAGGGAGAGAAATCCTTCCATTTTAGATTGATTCGTTGTAGGTAGGGTTAATCATGTATAGTTTTTCTATATTTTTGATAGTTTTTATTGGAAATTGTGATAAAAAATTTGATTGAACAAACAATAATAGTAATCTTTTAGAGAGTAGTTACTTTGCAGGCTTGCTAGAGCTTCAAATTCTTAGTTTCATGTCAGGTGTTATGGTAATTGCAGGGAATGAAGTAGTCAAATTTGAGAAGGAAATAAAGAAGAAAACTTTGGTCGGAGTATTGTTCTTAAAATTTAATTGGGATGGACTTTAAATTTATCATATTTATTTTTAAATTAGTAAAATATTTAAGTAATCAATTAAAGGTTTTTGACAAGTATTTTAGAATAAGTTTAAAGAGTATCCGGAATTTTGTTCAATATTAGAGACTCACATTTTGTGAGAGCAAAGAAAGTTATATGCGGATCTGGTACTGTTGTTTAAAATTTTACTTATAAATTAGAGATAAGAAGTGCTCTTAGTATAGGAGCCCCAACTTTCACTTATTGAGATTTTGTTCGCTTTTGGCTTGATGTCCTCCTAATTTAATTCTATAATTAGTTTAACTTCCTAGGAGGTCAGTCATCCTTAGAATGATCTTGCATTAGCTAGCTAGCACATATAGCATCTGAGTTTTTGATGAAATTTCAACTATTGCACTAAAAAATAACTTAATGTTTAAGTGTTCAATTTCATTTTAATTAAGAGATTTCAGAATATTCTCTCCAATTTACGTGATTAAAGTCTTTGTCAGTGCTCTTTACTTAGAATCATCCACCAAGTAGATAATAAGATTCTAGAGGCGTCCCACATAAATTCAAGAGGTGGCTCAAACATGTAGCACTTTGTCTCATTTAAGGATCAAGGGGCAGCTCTCATGCTGTAGCACTTTGTTCCAATATGCACTTATTAATTTTCCATCTTCATGCTAGTGTAGTAGTCTGATACCATTTGTAAAAATCTTAACTCTTATCCATCAAGATATTGTACTCTTTGGCCTAACAACCTCACGGTTTTGTCCCATCAATGTAGCTTCTTAGGAGATTACCAATCCTGAGAATGTTCTCGCCCAAGCACACTTAGCTTTAGAGTTTCATGAAATTTAAATCATCACACCAAAAGACACCCTGATATTTTAGAGTTCAACTTTATCCCATAGAAAAGCTAAATAAATATAATATGACATTCATATTTCATCAATCTACTTATATTATTGTGTATGTTTATTCATGTATGTTGAAAAGTTGATCTGAAATGACAATCAGGAAGAATTGGGAGAAGAGGGGAAGCAACGGAAGATCGAGACAAATGACAGAAAAAACTACATCAGCCACGTTCAAGCCTTCTAAAGAGCCAAACTGCTCGTGAGACATCAACTTTAGAGCAAGAAGTTTTGATTCGGTGTATAAGAAAATATACTATATAGATTTTGAAGAAAAATAAATTTTAAAATATGTTCAAATATGCAGGCAATGTGGCAAACCGTTCAAGCCTGAGAAGCTGCACTCTCATATGAAGTCATGCATAGCTCTGAGCGAGCGGGGCAAAAGCTCCAGTCTAAACAAAGAGACGCAAACTGGAACAAAACGACCATCTAAAGTTACAGTGACTGTTCTCTAAAATGATGATCCTTGCACGTCTTTGAATTATTATGCCGTAATTCTACACTGTTTATTATAATGAAATTTTAGGTTGTGACTGAAGTATGTAACCATTAATTAAATAAAGTAAAATTTGTATGTACAGCATAATTCATATGGATTTACACATCAAACACGTACATTTTGAAATTTATTTTTACAACAGTTTGGTGTCATAAAATTATGCACGAGTACATGTGTCTCAGCTTTGAAAAATTAGTAATAATGATATTTTCTATATAATGCTAAAGATTTGTGTGATGCATGTAATTAATTATGAAAGTTTAGGTCCTATATGTAAATAATAGCATTTGTGTGGTATTTATGTAAAAAAAAAACAACATTTATTTACATAATTGTGCTTGTTTTCTAGATCCTAGGCCATGAAATAAGAGATGATATAACTCATGAAATGAATCCAAGCCAGCAAGGACACGTTCCCCATGTTGAATTTGCCCATAGCTGCAGGTGGTGACTGATGAGTAATCTGGCACGACCCATTTTTTTATTTTTTTTTTCTTATTTTCTTATTTTCTTTAAAAGGCCAGCAAGTGATTCATCCTGCATTATTATATAATATATTAATATTGGTTGAGCATTTTTAATTATTTGAATTCCACTGTTTTGTTAATTTGCACACGGAATTAGAGGGATGATTGGAGACAGCTCAGACTGAAGAATATTTGGATACTAAAAAAAATATAATTCTGATGATCTTTTCAGTTCTGTTTGGGACAGCTGCAATTAACTGAAAATAATCTGTTGATATGCTAGGTGCGGTGACTATTAAAAATTTTTATTTTTTTTTGAAAGCCAAATCGCAGCTAGAAAGCTCCAATCACATCTAGATAGGTGCGGTGTGATAACACTGTTTTCAGCATTTTGAAAACACATAAGCTGCCAACACACATTTTACCCAAACAGGCGGGGTGCATTTTTAAACGCCACCGCACCAAATAAGTTCTTAGGAAAGATTTATTTATTCCCATGTATGAGCATCCTCTTGTAAAAATGTTCTTAGGAAAGATTTACAAAAATATCAGTCAAGCTTTATGTATTTACATATCTAAGATCTAAATATTATCTTTTTACATACATATCATTTTATTTATATGTAAGAAAATATATTTCATTTTTTTAAAGTTATAATAAAAGTACTTTAGATGTGATATGAAAGATTTGGATGTTGGAAATTTCAAAAGCAAAGTTTAGGTGTCAGATATGTAAATACATAGAAATAAGGTGGCATGCATGTAAATGCACTTATTTTTATTCTAACAAGTAGCGTGAATCATGGCATGTTTTTTTTGTCTTATTCAGAGAGAAACAAAAAGGCAGTACAACGCATTCAAGAGTTTTAGTTAAGACTTGGTTAGATTTTAAGCAAATCTTATATTTGAAGTGGTTGTCAAAATTAATTTTTTTTAAAATAAATTTAAATAAATTTTAATTAAAATTGAATAAAAAATAAAATTAGAAGTCTAAAGTATTTCTATGCTTCAAAAAAAAAAAAGAAAAAAGTATTTTATAATGTTTTTACATAATTTTTTGTCAGATGATTTTAAGATTATTGAATTTATTTTATCACCAGCATGAAATAAATTATTTATTTAAAGTATTAAACTTGAAATAAATTTAATAAGGTTTTGCTCCCCGTAAAAAATTTCTTTGATCCCTAACATTTTTTACATTTATCAAACTATAATATTTTTATTAGTATTAGCATAGGAAGCCCATATGTATGGCACCTGACCATTTGTTGGGGCATGATAAGAGCGTTGAGGGATTAGTTTATCACGAGAAAATGTTCCAATCGGACTCAGGGTATGTTTGGCTCGGCGTCAGGAGCGTGGTGAGGGGAGCGGCCGTGAATTTCAGCATTTTGGGACGGCGTCTGGGTAGCGGTGTCCCGCAATTTTGGTTAAATGTCGGCCGTGGATAGAACCCCGCGACCCGCTTTAGAGGGTTGGCTTTTTACTAATTTTGTCATATGGCATTTGATCTCAGCATTTGACCTCATTGCTTTGCCCTAATCTCTATCTGTTCGACATTGATTCCCTCGTTGCTCCTTTGCTGTTGAGGATGCCGTCCCTCCTTCCATTCCTCTGACAGTTGCTGCTAAACAGCTTATTGGATAAGTTACAACTGCTCCGAATAGACCCTCAATTTTCCCCAGAAAAATAAGACCAAAATATTTCAACTTATTTTCAACAAATATTCCACCTATTCAAGCACCCACTAGCTCTAAAGCAAAAGATAAATAAAGCGTCAAAATTATTCACGACTATTTATATGAGGCTATTTTAGTCCCAAATTTTATAGAAGTGCTAAAATAATCCCATGACTTTTTAAGTTGGGGTTAAAAGGGTTTCTCATGTATTAGAACTAAATTTAAAAAAAGAAATTTACATATGTACCACACAACTCTTGTGGATTTACACATGTCACCCCTAAATCGTCATATTTACACTCATAATAATTTATTCATGAATGAAAAGTTTCTCTACTCGTAAATATGAAAGTTTTGACGTGAGATACATAATAAATGTCTCATTTCAAATAGTAGATGCCTTTTTTAATATATTTATAAATTTTGGGACCATAAGAAGCCCCTATAAGCATTGGGATCGCACTGTAATGGTTTTTAATCGTTTTCCTCGAAAGCTTTTTCTCCCACCTGCTTGCTGTCTTCCGTCCACCAAGCACAGCCCCAATGCTCTCACTTCAACTACGTTCTCCTCCTCAAAAACCCTTCGCCTTCCTTCCTCACATGATCTAAAAAAGCCCACTTTAATCCAATTCCTAAACCCTCAAGCCTGTTCCATTC